TTGTAACCATCTTGCCTTTCATATTGAAACTTAGCATTTTGTTCTAAACAAAACCATGTCTGAAATTTATCCGATAAAAACTGAGTATATCCTCATCCATCGTGGAAATAGAAATTATTAATTCAAATTTAACTAGATTATCCACATTTATTTAACAGTAAACGTGACCATGCATTACCATCAGAGAAGACAGTCAGATTTGATGTCTTCACTTTCAATCGTTTTAATTTCGGTAAATATTGCAATACAAATGATACATTTTCAAATGACATTTTAGAGGGTAGATCTAAACTGAATTGAGTGCAATGAATTAACGGTGGTGTGAGTGCTAGTTCTGGAATAGATATCAATGTATCATGAAAGAATAATGTATCAATTAGTCTAGTTTTAATTGATCTAACATAGGGCAGTGCTATTAACCAACCAATAAAATCACCAAAATACAACAGTTGTACATCAAAAAGCTTTATATTTGTTCGAATACGTGGTGTCAATGGTCCTTGTCAGAACGTATATTCAATCTCACCATTAAATTTAAATTCTTTTTGTACAATCTTTCCGAGTTTTCAGATATAAACGAAGATAACTAATTTGATTGCGAATATGATTAATTGTTGAATTTAAATTGTTAAATGAAATACTATAATTCATTTGTATAGAAATAATCAAATAATTTACGCTGTAATTCTGCGGGACGGTACGAAGTGTATCCGATATACTACCGTTTCGATCTACAAGCAGGTGAAAGAGCTAGAAATCTATTTCTTTGTTCCGATATTCCAGTGAACGCGTGAATCACAGGAAACAAAGAGAAGTAACATTTTTTTTTCAAAATACCAACGAAAGAAAATGTGTCATTACACATCGAAAGTAAGTATTTACAAACATTTAGTGTCATGTGTTAGCTTGTATGTCAGCGCGTCGATGGCTCAAATGCTACCGGGCCATATCAAGCAAGCAACAGAAAAGGAAAAAAAAATCTTCTGTAACTTTAAGTTACTGAAGATTGAATTATAATATAATGATATTACATATAGTATACTTATATAATATAATATATAATTATAATATAATTATAATAAATATGAAATTCATCTCCCATAATTTATTCTAAACATGATAATAGTAACCTATTAATATAAAATAAATAGCACTAAAAACAATAATAGATCAAAATGATATTAGAATAATTTTATAAACTTGTATCGAGTAAAAGTAGATACCTGATATTCTTTTTAACGTATGTAATATGTATAAAAATACAAAAATAAATTTAAAAAATCAATAAATAAAATTTTATAATTTAAAGTATAAACAAATTTATAAAAATTTATAAAATAATGATATCTTCTTCCCTTTTTTTTTGTAAGATGAATGGAGCTGGAAACCCATGGTACTAAGTATAATCATATGAAATAAAACATAACTTTTCTCAAAAATCCTAAACAAAATTTAACATCCATTCGACAAAATACCTCCATAACACGAAAAAAGAAAAACTTCTGTATCTCGAAAATGGAGAACAGAACGGAAGACAAAATACTGGATACATATCCATATAATGCTTTTTTCCTCTTTGAAGTCGGCCATTTTTTGGAGCTGTTATTTGCAGCCAAAAGGAAACAAGAGGCGGCCATTTTCGATAGAAACTTCTTACAACGAGGAAATAAACAATCAAACCGTTCTGACGCGATTGTTTTTAGTTATATTAAGTGAAAAGAGCTTTACTAGTTGACCGGACTCACTCCTCACTGAGTGTATCACAATGTCTCAAAACATCCGTCAAGAATAGAAAGAAGTCGAATAGTGTCTGTCGGTACGTGATTCAAGCATCGACGTTGCTTCAGGCGATATTGTTCTATTCTATTTGAAATAATTCCAAAGTGAATCATAATCAATTGTTTTTTGTCCACTTACATTTATTACATTGCTAAAAGCTATTTTCCTTTTTGTTTTAGACCGATGATGAGTGTCCTGTTGTTCGTCCTGACATAAACACCCCTGTTACTGCGTTATCGACTTGTACAAGTCCGGTTCCTCCGCCTGATTCACAGATAAACTTATCAGAAGAAAAATTGTACATTTAACCGAATGGTATATATATGGATACTTCTCTATTTTGTAAATAATATATTTCGATCTCTCCTGTTTAGTTCATTGTATGGCGCAATCGACGTACGAATTGTTATTCGACAAAGATTATGTTTTTAATATTGGACTGGAAGCTCAACCATTCGTCAACTACATGCAAGAAAATCATTCTAAAATCTGGCACCAAGAGCCTATAGAGATAATCTTTGATTATATTCAACAACGATTGAATCGAAAGATATACCTATGGGTCTTCATGAAGACAGTTTATCACGTGTCCGGCGTACAAGAGACTACTATGACGATGAGACACTAGAATACTATGCTTTGTCGTATGTTCAAGGCCATATGGATCGGTAACCTAGTCTATCGAAGTACCCGAAGACACCTGTTCTATGTGATCAATGGTAAAATGAGCCCTATTCTACGTTCGATCCATCAACATTGACGCAAGCCGATCGAACAATAAACACATATTTTCATACAAATAGAAAAGATCATATTGCCAAAAATGTATTCGATTTATTAATTTTCAATCAACAAGAAAACGAAGAACATGTTCGATTTTATCACGGTACAAATATTGAATGTATAAAGAGAATAGAATGTTCGAATTTTGGCACACCCTCGCCACATCCTCAAAACCAGACTCTATCAAATTTTGAGTTTGAATTCAATTAAACATCATTTTTATACTCACTTATTAATGCCGAATCCAAAAATATCGTTTCAAAAGTTGAAAGGAACTCCGAACGAAAAAACATTGAGTTTTTTAAAACTAACTGAACATTGAATCGATTTAGCGCCAATAATTTAGAAATAACTAACCGGTTGATACCAGCAGCATCCGGTTTTCGTTAAAATGGGTCCTTCAAGTTATTCGAGTATATGTACTTTTTCATACAGTGAAACTAATCGGCTAGATCCATCACTGTCATATGCGATATTTCAGCAGCAGTTACTTATCAAACCCTGATTTCCAACGATGTTAAAACTAGAAGTCATTTATTCAGTAAATACTTTTCAAATTCATTTTTGAATCTCGATGGACCGTTTTCTCCTCTCAATGCAGTTCTACCTGACATAGATAATTCTGAGATGGCTATTCCAGAAATTTATTCTGCAAGCATAAGTCTCAATAAAACAAAGATAATGGGAATAGTACCAGTTGAGTTTCTTCAGAAAACAGCAGAAATCATATCCAGTTGAAAATAAAGTTCGAAAATTCTCTGAGACTTGCAGACCAAGGCGGAAGTTGAAACATTGGGGTTGACGGAAAATGTCGAATGAAAAAACATCGAATAGGAAAACATCGAAAAAAAAGAAGGGAAATGTAGAAAGGAAAAATGTCGACGGGGAAAATGTAGAAAGGTTCAAATCACTTAACGAAGCCTGGCATGCTCAATTTAAAGGTTGTTCTATTGTGTTTTATTTTATTGAAACTCCTAGTCGCCCGCTACACTTGAAATACATTTCGTATATTTACAAAATACATGACAAAAAAGTCTCTCTTAAAATAAGTGTATACAGCGTCGAAAGTAAAAGAAATGAATGGAGAAAAGCACATATCGACGAAGAAAAAATAATATCTTCAAAGATTGAAGGTCATCGGCCTGACAATAAAAAGATCCGTCCATCTCTTATATCATATATAAAAAGAGAGAAAAAAATCCTTGTTGTTTATATTTCACATGTACAATGGAGCCAGTAGTGTCGTTTATAACATCGAATAAAGGCAACCCATTATTGATTTATAACCAATATGTATTCAAATGCAATAAAACAACAGGGTCGAAAAAGTAGTCGACGTTCTCCTTTCGACATTTTCCTCTCCTAGTTTTCTCAATGTTTTCCTTTCGACATTTTCCTTTCCTAGATTTTTTCGACGTTTTTCCCTTTCGACATTCTTCCATTAGATGTTTTCCACCAAGACCGAAACATTCAAGCAGCCACTGTGTCTCGACTGAAAAATAGATCTCAAAACAAAATGAGCCATTTTGTAGAGAATTGAATTCTCTATTCGATAGTGTGTTTTCAAAACTTTTTGAACAAAATATCTAGACCAGAAATTTTAAATTAAAATTTTCATATTGAAAATTAATTTTTTCTTCAAAGAAAAAGTCAGATTCGTGATCAGCATGAAAAGCTGCGTCTAGTGAGGTGCTCCTATCGATTTTCCGATGAAAAAACTTTATCAGCGAAGTGTTGCGTTACATGGACAAGCGCTCCAGCTCCAACAACAACCTCCCGTTATTTGCGCCTTTGAATGTCTCACAGAAAATTTCAACTGTTTGAAAAATGCCATCATCATACTAATATACGAAAAAGGTGAGACAGTTATTGGCAACTATATGCTATCAAATCAGATCCGCGTGTGTATCCTCCGAACACTGAAACTTTGGCGTTTATTGTTGTGCCCATTTCAGTTAGGAAAACATTTATCATAGAGTGAAAAGTAAGACAGAACCTTTTCGAGGAAAAGAACATTCTACCTACTTACATGTCAACGTTTTCAAACTGTAGCGGACGGATCATCGCAGAGAGAAGCTGCTAAACGAAACGACATGCCTGAATGGCACTCACTCTATCACTATACTAGCGTGGCTTGGGAGTTTGCGTGAAATTCCTCATGATCATGTAGAATTTAGTGTGGCGTATATTTGTGCATTTAGTTCACTGTTTATAAATGACCGGGTTCATGCTAAGTATTAGTATAATATTAGGCAGAAGTAGTTTTGTACCAGCTATAATATTACTGTAATAAATGAATCTTTTGTTGAGAAGAATAAACATATTCAATTGTTTTGGTTGTAGTTGTATAATGTCTTTTTCTGGAAATGTTAACAGTAGATTGAATCTTATTATAGACTCTCTCCACAGCACACTTAAGCAAAGTGGGTTTCCCCAGTTTACCACTGCATTTTCCATGTTTTTCCTGCTAAAAACAAAGTGGAAATCGAATTTTCAAAGTGGAAACCCATTTTGCTCAAGCGAGACCCACTAATCATTAAACATTCGATGGCTAATGAACGTTGCCCAATGGGTTTATCTTGTTCTAATAATTTGATTAATAATGATAAAAATATTTCACATTCAGTAATTAATAACGAAAAATATAAACGAACTAGAATACATACAAGTCTTAGAAGACGTGCTATTAGTGGAAAATAAGCGCCATCGTACAAATTTCCACTACCCATTTGAACGTTATTTGTTGATAATTTTTCACGTTTAGCAATGTGTGTCATTCCTGGTGAAAATAATTTAATTATTAATGGTGATACTCGTTCTTTTAATAAATATCGAAATTCATCATGGTGATAAAATATAGACGCATAATGCATCAAAATTGTTTCGATTAATTCTAATATTAATGTTCGAGTTATTTCTGTTAAACCAATTAACCATACTGATTGACCGCCATTTCTTAAATAACATAAATCTTGAAATAATAAATAGGCATCTTTAGCACCAACGGCACTCGGCAATCGCTGTTTTTGGCATACAAATTTTTCGCGCCGAATACGGAATCACTCGTAAAGGCTTTTCTCAACCGTTGCAGTACGTATAACTGCGCTTTTCAAATATCTAAACAAAAAAAAGCGTTAGAAATGAAGAAAATCGCCGAAAATATTTTTTAAAAGTGAGAGACAGTGAAATAGGTCTTGTGCAAACTTAAAACTACTTTCACAAAAAACTGTCACAGATCACGCTTTCCAATTTTTTGAGACAGACTGTTTTTTTGTCCACGTCGGTCCCTGTATATACTGATTTTGTCCAGATCTGGATATTTTCAGTCTCGAAAAAGTTTTGTTCATCATTGTTCCATATCTAAATGCAAAAATAACAAGACGTGAGTTGGTTTGAGGAGAAAAGAGTTTGTTTACGTTCCTTAGTGGAGAATACGATTGATGTTTCATGTTTTATCACATGGTCTGCTTTCGATAAAAATTTTTAACGCGATCAACACCTTTAAAACTGTCCTTATACTAGCACTTGAGCGCCCAGCGGCGAAGATCAAGAAAATTATATACTCCATGCCTAAGGCATCCGTTTTTTAGCGTAGTGTGAGATTTGTATATGTGAAGTTCCTTTTACAAATTTTTGAGCTTTGACTGGAAATATACGCAAATTAAAAAGTCAGAGAAGAGAACAATGCACCTGAGACGGGACAATTAGCGAATGATGTACCAGAAAATTCGATTTCAGTGAGTTTCAACAGCTTACAACAATGATGATGATGTTAAACATTTATGTCAACGTTTAATTGCTCTTTCATTTATTTTTCATATTCATGTATTACCTCCGAACATTTGTTTCTGTAAAATAAAAATCAATATTCCTTAATTATTGAATATTACTTTGTGGCCATTAAGTAGATATTAGCGATATTGAGCTCTATATAAGGTGCCGCTAATTCAAAAGGTCCGTGCCAAAAATGAATCCTATCGAGTTATACATGGTTAAATAGAGCTCGTCGAGCTGATCACGAATATGCCCTTTAAAAAGTTTGAAAGTGAAATGTACGGCTGAAAAGTTTGAAAAACGAAAAAAGCGAAAAAAGCGACCGTTTTCGAGTAACCGATGAATTTCACCCTTTTACTTGTCTCGAAT